TCACTAGTTTAAGAATTTCTTGCAACTGCCAACATTTAGTATGAAAGCTGCTTTTTTATCCTAGGATGACAGAAATGAGCACAGCTACCAGTTGGAAATGCTAAGCAGACACACAGAGTTTAAAGTTATTAGTTTAAAGAATATTATTTCGGTTGTCTTTGTACATTCAACGTAGTCAATATTAATATAAAAAATATAGAATAGTCATTTATTATTTCCTGGGCATTTTGAGAAAAGGTACTTGATTTTCTTTCAGCCTTGCAGGTATTTTGCTAGAATATAGAATAAGTATAGAATAAGAATAAATATCCTAGAATAAGTTGACAACACTTTTAGTTGATTTTTTTTTTTAGTGCTTTCAGTTTGAGAGTTAGTGCTGCTCAGTTTCCAACATGGCTGCTGCACACAAACAAAGTCAAGTAGAGATGCATTTTTTATACACACCATATATACTGTATATATTGGTTTTTGTATGATTTGTATTTCGCCGTATAAAATCAGTGTTTGTTCATACTACCCTAAAGCATTAAGCAGTACATTTTCCTACATAAAATGCTTCTGCTTTTCTTACTGGCATCTAAAACCCAATCAATGCAGGATTCATGAGGAAAACATCCCTTTACCCAAATTCCGAATCAGAATCTACAAACTTGGTTTTAGCTGAAAACGACAACAAAACGTTTAGGATCATGCTAATTTACAAAGCTAAATCTCAGGGTCAGAGGGTGAGGCTTTTTTATGCACAAAAGGTTTAAGATTCAGTGAGTTTCAAGAACACCTTTCTCTCTGTTTAGGTCTTTTTTTTTTTTTTTTTTACTAAGGATTGTACTATTTTAGTAAATAACTATTGGTTGTAATGTCATGAGTGGTTTCCCAAAGAGCAAATTCAAAAGCCAAAGATATTGTTTTGTATTGAGTGAAGTATGGCAAAGACTGGCAGATCATCTGTGGTTCATAAGCTATTTTCTTTCCAAATACATCTGTGGAAATATATCATATCAGTTCCTTATTAAATAGATAAACAAATCATCTTAGTTTCTTAATTGATTTCTTAATTGATTTAGATGATGAAAAGACTTTGTCTTTGAAGGAAGCATTCCCTCTGCTTCTCTTTCTCCCTTTCTTTTTAAGCAAGATTTATGCATAAATCATGCCTCTGACTTCTTATCAACCTATTTTAATCTCATTGCATATGTTCTTTATAGAAAAACATCCCTTTTATTTATTGTAGCTTTTTCATCCACCTTTCTGTCAAACACAGTACTTGGAGAAAACCATTAACTTTACACAATGTTTATTCACTTATTTTCAGAATCTCAGTAAAGTTAATGCATCTCTTATACATTTTTAAATGATTTTTTTGGAAAACACTGAATGTATGACACTTTGATACACTTTGAGCAGTCAGTCTATAGCTTATATATCGGGATAAATTGTATTTTAATGTCTAAATCCAGGCAGGTAAAGCAAGCATACCCCCAATGAGAAAACCTCTCAATTGTTCCCAGTTGGATCCCAGTTGACGTTTCTTTTGAGAATCTTATAGTAGAAGTTGAGTGCATGTTCTTGGTGTTGTATCCAAAGGTTGTCTTTGGATAGTGGATTTTTTTAGTGCATCCAGCATTGCTGCAGATGTCAATGGGGTAGAAGGTTCATCCTGATGGTGCTCAGACCATACGCTCCATCAAAATGGTCCACATGGCTGTTATCCCACAAGAAGTTTACTGAATTTCACAAGACAAGCAGACTAGATTACTTAAACCCTGTCCTGCTACCTTATAAGAACAAGATAAACCATTTTAGTTCAGATTATTTCAAGAAGGTGATGCAGGAACCCAGTGGGGAACAAAGATGAGTGTGTCTCTCCTGCAGTGGTGGGAGTGTCATGGTTTGCCACGTGCTGCCGGCTGCAGAGAGCTGCAGATCATTAAGGGAACCATGACTGCCAAAGAGCAATGCCTCAACATGATTAAGACCCCAAGCATGACAAGGATGATCACAGCCCTGCTGAGAAACCGAGGGTAAAGGGGGTGGACGGGCCAAGCAGGTCTCCAAACCTAAACCCTGCTGAGCATCTGTGGAAAATCCTCAAATTAAAGGTGGAGAAGCTCTAAGTCTAACATCTCCCTGCTTTCTGGTGTTATGGAGGAGTGAAGTTAAAGAGCAAAATGACTCTGTTATACAAGCTTTACAGTATTTTACATCATATTAAACTGTCATAGCTTTAGTTTGTACTTTATATAAATATGTAATCAAAATACTACAGCCAGGCGCAGGCCTTTGGTCTCTTTTTAGATCTCAAACCATGTTTTAGGAAATTTTGTCTTTGCTTGGATCATAAAATTGATGCTGATGATAATTAATGTTGTCAATACTGATATGGGTATAGCCTGCTAAATTCAATTGGAAATTGAAAACAACAAAACTTTAGAGGGTATAAGAAATAGGAAAACCTGGTTGGATCAGTGGTCACATGCATCTTTAGATTTAATTTCACAGTTCAGTCTTCTTTGATTGGATTTTTTCTTTCATTCCGCACATTGACTTGCAAACCATCTCTAAATCTTAGAAATTGAAATGAAATCTCTTCAGATTGTGTTCTGCTTTGGATCTAAAATCTGGTAAATGAATATGAATTGATTAAATGTTCCCCCTTTAAGCCATTCTTTGTACAATTTCAATATATGCATTGGAATTATGCTGAAAAACAAAAATATCCTTGAACTTTCTAGTCAACAGCTGAAGGTTTTCTGTAAAAACTGACTGTAGTTAGAAGCTGCTTGTGATTTGGAGACTGCAGCTCCATCTGAAGACACTGGATACATAAAAACTGCTTGTTTCATATATCAGAAAACAAAATTAACATGTCCAACTGCTTCTTTAAATGAAACAAAGATGCACATCAGTATGAACCTAAAAAACTGTAGTCCAGTGAACACTTATTCTGTATTTTTAAAATCAGTTTTGAGGGGAGTTATAGCTATTTTTATTTATTTTTATATTTGTATATTTCATTGTAGAATGTTGTGTTTTTTTTAGGTAGGCAATTTTAAGATCTATCCAGGAACAACAGATGAAAAATGGTGCATTTGGAGGAATGCTTTTAATGTACACTGTCTCTGTCAAATAAATTAATAAATTAAATTAATATATTGATTCAGATTCATACAAAAAATCCTGATCTCTCACGTAACAGTTGATCATTTGCACATATTTCGTTTTTGTGCTGCATCGTCGTCGGAGCCAACGCTTCATGGCCAGATGATGAGGTTTGTGTGATGTATTCTCCCCTGAGAGCAGCAGTGGGTGAGGAGAAGTGGCAGGCAGGAGATCAGATGGCTCGCTCCTCCGTGTAGATCCCAGAGCCCTGACCGTCCCTCTGCTGCAGCTGCTCCCCTGCTCTCCATTTGCCTCCTCCCCTCCTCTAACTCCCACTCTGCTCCCCAGTGGAAGCTTGTGCTCACATACAGTCTGGCTCTACTGTAAAATAACATTTACCTTTATAAAGGAAATATTTTGCAACTTTAATCTTTATCTTCTATCCTGAAGAACCATCATTGTTTTCATCACTAGATTTGATGAGTCTAAAATAAATACAGCATATAGTTCTAACTTTAAACATGCTGTTTTTGCACTAAGAATAATGTACAGAGGCCCACTACTATAAACATAGGCTGAAACATCTATATAAACATATAACTGATTTAATACACACTCCTCAGCCTGCAGCAGAGAATCCACATTTCTTTGGGTCTGCATTAACCAGCTTCTGGCAAAATTCAGACCAGACTGTTCCTAAAGAACTAGTAGCATTCATTAACTAGTTGATGATAGGTGACCTTTTGAGGGGGGCGTTTAGTTCCAGGAGTGGCAGCGAGATCGCTGGTATAAAGACAAAAAGGGTTCAAAGGTTGAGTTTTCTGCTGTAATAAGAATAACAATGTTTGGAAATTGAGAGCAATGCACCAACTGGCATGATGGAGGTAGCGCCATGGGGTTCTGCTGGTTATAGGGCTGGTGCATTGCTTT